GCATAGGGAAATGACGTTGGCAGGTAAAAGGCGCGAGTAACTAGGCAACCGGGCTATGACAGGAAGTCCCACCTCTGGGGCATAGCAGGAGACTTATGGGAATAGGCTGGGTAAGAAGAATTAGGAGCTTAGCTCAGCAGAGGTAGGGGAAGAGGAATCCGGAAACCCACTTGCAATAGGATTGGAGGCCTGGAGTTATTGAGTCTCCCACAATTAGGAAAAGGACAAATGTAAGGGAAAGAGATATACTTAGGTATGTATGTAAAATAGTTTGAATAATTTTATTGTCCTTTTTCTGCTGGTCTTTTGAAAGGAGCAGTTATTGCTTAATTATTTTAACCTTGATTTCCTTCTTTCATGCTTTGAATTTCTTATAGCTTCTTTGTTATTTTGCTGTATTATACTCAATGAATCTCACACTTTTAAATCAATTTGAAGATACCATTATGTAATACAGCAACCATTGTTAAATTCCTATTACTTTGATCAAATCATGTATCATTTATAATGCTGTTTTTTATATCTGTGTTTTATATTCTTTAAAAATAAAAATAAATAAAAAGGAAATGTGATCAATGTGTATTTCAAAATTGTGGCAGTAAAATTAATTTTTAAAAATTGAAAACAGACTGGCTCAGAACCTTAGGGAGCAAAAGCCAAACTAAATTTTATCAAATTCTGCTAAATTCAGGGCCAACTAGGATTTCCTCCTACAGTGCTAACTTTTAAAAGTAAAATCATTATGATAATGACACACATATTTAAATTAAAAATATTCAATGAAAGCTAAAAACTTGTAATGTGTCCATTATTTTTGGTCCAATTTCTATGATACGTCCCATCCTGGAAGATTCTCAAACCTTCCCCCTGGAAGCTCATCAATGTAAAGCTTCAATCAGCACCACACATTTCATTCCTCATTTGCTTCTCCTATTAAATACACAGCTTGAGTCCATGTAAACACCTCAATAAAGTCCAGCAACAAATGAGTGCTGTGGTCAAATATAACCATAATATTGGCAGAGAAAATTGTTTCCTAACCTACAAGTATTCCTTGAAATGTGAAGCCAGAGAAGTAATTTATCAGGAAAAAAGTACATATCAAGTAAATGAAGAACTTTTCAAATAGGTCTTCAATTATTTAAAAAATAACAGTATTTCCTAACAGTGGAAGAAGGAGTAGGGTCCTACATATATGAAATGCACACTAATTTTGGCAAGGATAGAAATGTGAATTAGATTTTGGCTAACACATCAGTGATGTAAAGGAGCCCTTGGTTAAAGATGCTAAGGGCAAAGCATCTTTGAAGCAGTAGTGTGCACACTTGGTTGGAGGCAGGATTAGTTATATATGCTTTAGAGAAGTTATCACATGTAAGGGGAGAACACTAAAAGAGGAGGCTCTGAACAAAGATAGGTCCAGTTTTGGTAGACCATATAGAATCTCATAATAATATCTGAATTTCATTCTAAGTACTAAGCCATTAGAGGATTGTAAGAAGGAAAATTACTTGATCTGGTCAATATGTCAAGTGGATAATCCACATGTTTTGTGGAAAACAGATTGTGGGGTCTGGGCCTAGGGACTAGCACAGTCATCCAGTCAGAAAGTAACAGTGGCTTAGACTAGGCAGGAGGAGCAGGGACTGTGGAAGAGAAG